GTTGCAATGAGCCATGATCAAGACCACTGCACTCTATCCAGCCTGGGTGACAGAGTGAGACCCTGTCTCCAAAACAAACAAACAAACAAAACCCCCCAAAACCAATGTCCATTTATTGTGATAATTAGCATGTCTCTTATGGGCAACATTGTCCTTTTTTAGCCTTTATCCTCAAATAAAAAATTGTTATGTAGCAAAAACAACCATTTCCACGTGAAGCAAGAGTTGAAAATGCTGTCCTGAAGAAGTCTGTGAAAATGTCAAGTCATGCCTTTGCGAGGAGATAACTACTTGGCATATACCTCTCCCTGAACGATAAAGAAGGAAGGAAGAAATGTACTTCTAATAAACATTAGCCATGGAGAACTGCATGTAAACATGATGCTTTCGAAGCAAATGCTCTGCAGTAAATGGGAACCAAGAAAATAGGTAACAAGTTGTAAACCCGAAAATCATTTCTTTATTTCAATGAAAGAGAAGTTTAAAAACAGTCAAACCAAAACGTCTGCTTTTAAAGTTCTGCAAATTCTGGTCAGATTGATCAACCCTTTTTAGAGTTGTAAAGCTTTTTAATTTAATGCTTTTTAATTTTCAGTTTGCTTACTTCATTCCTTTGTAAAAGAAAAAAAATCACTTTAGATTAAATGAAATTGTAATTATGACTTCTACTTCCATATCTCACTTTATGAGCTTATTTTCTGTATCTCCCCTTAGAAAACAAAGTTCCCTTTTCATTTTAAAATTAAAGAAACTCCTGGGTTAGTATCTAACACATACAAACTGATAATTACCATGTAATAGAAGCAACAGGACAAGCTCACAGTAATAGAATGCAGGAGGTAAAAACGTGGGCAGGATAGACAGAAGGCTGCCCCATTTCTTAGTCTGTAAAAACAGACAATAAATAGTAGCTGCCTCATAAGGCTGATGCTGGTATCAGTCAAATGAGATCATGCAAAGCACCCAGCACTGGCTAACACTCAATAAAGAATAGCCATTATGATCATTAGAAAGACATAGGAAGAGACTTTTGTCATTGTCATGGTTTCATCTTAAAATGTTACTGTATGTTCACATTCTGAGTCTTTACAAGAGAAAGCAACAAGTGTCCTGCTGTTGCTCAGGATCATACCTTCTCCAAGATACCCTGCTACATTGTTAAAATACCTGGGGGCGGGGAGGGGAAGTATCCAATTAAGCCACTGTTAAACTGTTTCCCTTTTGGAAAGTTTGAAATATTTGAAAACAGCATAAGAAATAGCTCTATATATAATGAGTTCTAGGTAAGACAATATTGTGGTAAGTGAACTAAACAAAGATTAATCTGAAATTGGACTCTGATCCCCAAGTGAACCAGCCGGTGTAGCCCAGTCTTTACTGGACTCGAGCAGGAAAAACAAACCTGTGTCTATCTCAGCCATGATCTGGCTGGATATGAACTAAGCTTTGAACAGTGCCCAAGCGCATTTCAGATGCATATTATGTGTTAAATGCTAAGCAGGGAGCATTGAGCTGGGGCAGTGCATCCTGATACTGAGGAACTGACACAGGAAAATGCATAGCATTGTCATTTGGTCTTCTGCTATTCTTTTATTTATTTATTTTCTTATTTTTGAGACAGCATCTTGCTCTGTGGCTCAGGCTGGAGTGCAATGGTGTTATCTCGGCTCACTGCAACCTCTGGCTCCCAGTTCAAGCAATTTTCCTCCCTCAGCCTCCCAAGTAGCTGGGATTACAGGTGCACACCACTGCGTCCAGCTAATTTTCATATTTTTAGTAGAGATGGGGTTTCGCCACATTGGCCAAGCTGGTCTCAAACTCCTGACCTCAGGTGATCCACCTGCCTTGGCCTTCCAAAGTGTTGGGATTATAGATGTGAGCCACCCCACCCGGCCTATTTTCTCATTTTAGTCTGACAAATTTCCTTTTCTGTTAGATCTCTCCCCAATAACTGCAAAAACCAACCAAATAAATAAATAAATATGGGAGAGAGGTGGTTATTTATATTATGAATGTATTATTCAGTTTAATTCATTGAAGAATCTAACATCCTTCCCTCCACAGTGTTAAAATCCATAGCCCTCTCAATTACACTTCCACACTTTGAGGAAAAGGAAGAGAGGGAAGAGGTATCTCCAATAGAAATTTCCTTGTTAATAACATCTTATGTTTCTTTTAATGTTTTAGAGTTTCAAAGCACTTTCAGACTCACTCTGGTATCTCAGTTAAGCCTTGTACAAGATGCCATAAATCATATTATACTCACCTAAGAGGTGAGTAAAGCCATAGGTTAGAGGTGAAGCAAATGTAAATAGTAGTAATTAGTAATATATATATATATACATACATATATATATATATGTATGTATATATAGAGAGAGTAATTGGTACATGTGAGACCTGAAGCCAAGATTTTTCTGTTTTGTTTCGTTTTGTTTTGTTTTGAGATGGAGTCTCGCTCTATCACTAGGCTGGAGTGCAGTGTCTCAGCTCACTGCAACCTCTACCCCCAGGGTTCAAGCTATTCTTCTGCCTCAGCCTTTCAAGTAGCTGGGACTACCGCTGTGCACCACGCCCAGCTAATTTTTGTATTTTTAGAAGACACGGGGTTTCACAATGTTGGCCAGGATGGTCTTGATCTCTTGACCTCGTGATTCACCCACCTTGGGTTCCCAAAGTGTTGGGATTACAGGCGTGAGCCACCGCTCCCTGCTGAAGCCAAGATTTTTAAACCAGGTCCAGTGGCCAGGAGCTGAAGTAAGTGGCTCGTACTCACTACCTTGGTGGGGCTGTTTTCCTCCCTTCTGTGATTTCGTTCCAAGCATCTTCCCTTTTTCTTCTCAGTTAATTCTGATTCATTAATTCCCTCATGTAATTAATAAATGGGAAAGACTTGAGTGAACAAATATTCAGCCAACTTGTATTTATTGAGCAAACTAGAAGTCAAATCTTTGAAGGGTTTTAAACAGAGGAAATAGAATCTCTTGTAATTTAAAAAGACCATAGTAAGGCCACTGCGGTGGCTCATGTCTATAATTCCAGCACTTTGGGAAGCTGAGAGAGCAGGTGGCCTCTCAAGACCAGTCTGGGCAACATGGTGAAACTCCATCTCTACTAAAAAATCCATACATTAGCCAGGGATGGTGACACGCACCTGTGGTGGTTCCAGCTACTTGGGAGGCTAAGGCAGGAGAATCCCTTGAGCCCGGGAGGTGGAGGTTGCAGAGAGCTGAGACAGCACCATTGCACTCCAGACTGTACAATTGAGCTATAATTAATAACTTTATTAATGTGAACCAATTATCCAGAAATAATAATCACATATTAGCCATAGTGGAGTTCCTAGCTAGATGTGTTCTGTCTATGTTTGTAAATCCTGGACATCGTTAAATTTCAAGTGCCTTCAATAAGAAATCAATGGCTTATCAAACATCTCTGCAGAGTCTTGATAAGATTTCTACTTGTGGTGAAGCCTCATTCCTTAAGTCATTTATTCAACACTAACTCATTTTACAAACTTACATCTGCTGGGCTCTGGGAGTAAGAAGATGAGTTAGATGCAGCAGTCCCAAATCTAAAGGAGGCTGGAGACTAGAAAGGAAAGACCAGTGCCTGCTCTGAGCTCTCCAATGGTCCCCAGCCCCCTCTGCCAAAGGCAAAACCAGCTTCCCTCTGCTCTGCAGCCACACTGGCCTTTTCTTTCATTTCTGAGAACTCACCTCACTCCCTCCCACTCTGGGCTCTGCAGAAATCCCAGTTCCCTTTGCCTTGAAAGCTCTTGGTGAATTTAGCTCCACTTCCTTCAGCCCTCAGCTCCTGCCTTGCTGCCCCAAGAACCTTTTTCTGATTGCAGATCTGGTCAAATCTGTCTGAAACCCTCTGCTACCTTAGACCTTGTTACATTGGTAGATTTACATGTACACGTGTGATCATTTAATATTTGATGGTTTGTTCTCAGGTGCCTACGCTCCTGGAGAGACAGGGGATGGCTGGTTTTATTAGATGTCAGTGCCTGGCATACAACAGACCCTCCAGGGATGAAAAACCAACCAACCAACCAAGTCAGGACCCAAGCAACCTGGGCCTCTGTGGAAGATGTGGATGGCCTGGGTTTAGGTTTCTCTGGAGGTACCTTAAGATCAGGCCTTCTGGCTCATATCTTAGCCCTTCTAACACTCTGAAGTGTAGAGGTTGTCTGTTTCAAGTCCCGAAGGGACTGTAAGCTCCAGATAGCAGAGCATCCAGCTGTGCTGTTACTTAGCATGAGAGCCACATGAAAACCGCTTCGCAACTATTAGCCATTGCCAGTATTAATAAATACTTTCCGGAAGGTGGGACAAAGTGGAGATGTTATAGACAGCTTCAAAGAAATGTTTAAACTTGAGTTGACTCTGAAAAATACAAGCCATCCCCAACCAAAAATTAAAAATCCAAATACAAAAAAAAAAAAAAAAAAAAAAGGAAATTTGCCTACTCCTCATTTGTGAAAACAAAGAAAAAACCACACACACAACGGCTTAACCTTTCTAGGCCTCTCGCCTCTCCCCGTGCTACACAGGCGAATTTTGGACGTATCTACAGTCACCGCGGAGTCTGCAATCGCCGCAACGTCCCCTGGCTTTTCCTGACCAGGGTGCCCTTTGGTGAGGATGTCTGTAGTTACAACCCCTGCGGTGGAGCTGGTATTTCGGGTCCTTATTGGCAAAGTCGAGGGTATATGCAGAGAGGGAGGGAGGGGACCTTGGCTTCTTTCCATTCACCGGCATGTTTCCGGGGCACAGTCATCCCACACCGGCTCGAGCGCCAGACCCGAGGCCTCGCGGAACTCGAGCCCGGGAGAGCGCGCGGCCCCGCCCTCAGGGTGGCTGAGGCCCCGCCCCTGCCTTCCCCGCCAGCCCCGTCGCAACGGTCTCGGCACGCAGGCGCGGTGGCGCGCGTGGGGGTCGGGGGCGGGGCGCGTGCGGGTTCCACTTAAATACGAGCGGAGGGGGCGGCGCGCGGTCGCCGCGGCGCTGCTGCTCAGTGTCCGGGGGTCTTCCTAACTGCCTCCGCGTGGCGCCAGCCTCGAGCCGCCCTTCCCCTGGCGGCTGCGGCCGGAGGGAGCGGAGGTGAGCGGGAGGCGAGCTCCATGGAGAGCGACGGACGCCCCTGCAAAGGCGGCGCCCTCATCTCGGCACCCGGGCTCCAGTGACCCGCGCTCGCGCCCCGTCCCGCCCGCGTCAGTGCGGCCGCCCGCCCCGGGACCGACCGGCCTCGCCGCGCCTCCCGCACCCCCCAGCGCGCCCGGCTCCCCTGCGCCCGACTCACCCTCGCCCCAACTTCCCGGCGGGGTGGCGGCGCCCGGGTCCTCGCGGCGGCGGCCGGAGCAGCAGCGGCAGCAGGAGCCCGCCTCTATGATGAAGTTCAAGCCCAACCAGACGCGGACCTACGACCGCGAGGGCTTCAAGAAGCGGGCGGCGTGCCTGTGCTTCCGGAGCGAGCAGGAGGACGAGGTAGGGCGCCCGGCGCGCTCGCTGCCCTCCGGGGCGCCGGGTCTGGGGCCCGGGTCCTTCCCCTCCCGGGGTCCCCGCCCGGGCGCGGGCTGCGGGGCCGGGAGGGATTCGCCCCCTTCCGCCCTCTCTCCCTCGCTGCTGCTTTCCTTTCTCTGGGCTGATAGAGGAGACAAAGGGGCTCGCCCAGCCCCACGTTCTCCATCTGGGCACTGGAGACGGCGCCTGGCCCCTGGGAAGGTCCCGGGCCGTGTAAGTCTCGCCTAGCGGGAGTCACCATCTTAACGTGCGAATTGAGTTGAAAGCCGGATAAACCTCGAGTGCTCAGCAAGAGGAGGGTGGAAATGGCGTGAGTGTTGCAGCCGAGCCCTCGTGCCTCTTTTACATACTTTCCTTCCATGTTACAGGAAGGAAACGGATTTTCCCCTACAGAATGCGGGATTTGCGATCTCGGATTCGATCGAAGCATGTTTGTGGAGTAGCACAGTCCTCGTGCTTCGAAATGATGATCCCTCAGTCTAGTCTTGGCAATTCTTGGGGGTCCGTGAACCCGCCAGCTGTTGGCATAATTATGCTTCCTTTTAAAAACTCCCTTTCTTAAGAGTTTTCGGACTGCAGAAAGATGGTTAGTGAAAAATGTGGAATAATGCCAGACGAGAGACTATGGGCTAGAGATGGGTAAAGCTGCCATTTTCAGACCGTAATCTCCAGCTCTCAGCTTGTATGTAAAGGCTTCTTTACTTGGGTTTGACTTGACATCTGGAAAGGAGCAGCCTTTCTCGTTGTGAGAGCAGTCCTTCTTGTGTAATTTACCATTCTGCATTGGGCTGAGAATGAGACCCTTGGGATTTCCTCAGAGAGCGATTTTTACTTATTTCAGTCATATTTCTTTAAAATGGCTCACTGTTTAAGTTTGCTTAGGGCAATAGTAGCTTTTTAGTATTGCCACTCTTGAGTTAATTACACAGGGGAAAAAATTAACATTCTGAGTTCTGTTTCCATAACCAACCGTGTATAAAATAGTAGGCTAAAGCTGGAGATGGGAGTTTAATGGCTTCCTTACTGCTAGTCCCTGTAGTTGTGATGAGTATGATATACACTCAATGGCTTAGTTCTTGAAAAATGTTAACAAAAAGTGCTCGAAATTTGCTCTTTAAACCCTTGTTTTGCCTTTATTTTTTTGAAAAGAAACCAAGCCCTTTAGATGGTTTGCTCTGTGCTCACTCATATAGCCTTTATGTGTTAGACCTGAATCCCAAAGGAGGGCGCACAGAAACATGGTCCCAGCCTTTGAGATGGATCTGCTTAGGAGAGCTAGAAATTGCAAAGGGAAAGGTTATTAACTTTTACAAAATGAACAACTTAACAAGCATTAAGTGTGTTCTGTAAAGTAAAAAAAAAAAAAAAAAAAAAAAGCCTTAGCCGAAAGGCAATGTTGAAGCAAAGTAGTAAACTTGAAATATAAAAGAAATGATAGCCAGAAGGAATCAAGATAGGTCAAGGGTCTTCTCTTGTCTGGCGTCCTCAGTGTAGTATAATGATACTCTTAATTGAGTGCTTACAATGTGCCAGGCGCTGCCGGGAGAAAATTGTATACTTTTACTTCTTTTAACCCTGGGAGGTAGCGAGGTTATTTGCATTTTATAGGTGAGGAGATAGCTGCAGTACTTGCAAGTACTTGCCCAAATAACACAACTAAGAAGTGGTAGAGTCAGGATTCAGGGTCCAGGCCATACTCCTGGTGCTGGGCTCTGTTTGTTGAATGAGTGAGATTTTTGTGAGGCTAAGTTTGGAAGCTTTTCTGAAAGTGGCGACTGAAGTATTGCCATAATGTAAACTTGGAATTCAGGCTTTGTAAAAATACTAGACTGAAGGGGAAAATATGAGTAATAGAAGGAAATTGAAATGATGATCTGTATTGTGCTTATGGTAAAGCAAAGTCTGATAGAAGCTTTAGGAGTTACTTGAGCAATAAAAAGAAATGATTATTTTTATGCTTGGATGTTGTTTCTACTGTAATAAATGCTGAATTCACAGCCTCTGGTCAAGAGACAGTGTCATTAGGTAAGGTGAAGTAGGGAGCAAGTTTCGGAGAATATATTAGGGAAATCCATTGTGAAAAACTTTGTAAATCTGATAACCTGTAGGTTGAGAATCGAAGTGAGTTATCTTATTAGAGGATATGATCTGAGGGAAGACTCTAGAATTCTCTTAAGTGAAATGCACAGTCAACTTTAACATCTGGTTTAGCTCTTCAGAATCTTCATTTCTGTGGTTGTGTGGTTCTTTCTATTACATGATGACTACGGAATAAACTCTGTTAGCTTTCCTGGACATCCTACTGCTTCTCTATGAATTTGTCTTCACTGTCTTGAAATTGCATTGCCAGACTTCCAAGGACAGGCTGGAAAACCAGCCTGAACCCACCTCTCTAGTTAATAGGTGAGAAATGTTTCCCTCTACTGGATGAAGAACACCTAGATCCTGTTTAGGAGATTTAAATATATGTTTTGTTTGAGGATGAAATGTTTATATAGAGTACAAATGGAAGTAGAAGAGTAACTGCAGTTTGACCCCAAAAAAGCTATGTGGCGCTCCCATCTGGCTGTTCTTGTACTGAAGTTCTCGGTAAGTCCCTACTTTAGAACAGATTGTTCTAGGAAAGAAGGTTGTTCTAAGAGCAGAGAGAGCAGAGTTATTCTTTTAAGGTGGCTTTATATAGTAAATATTTACCATTTTATCTTCTTCTGCTCTGTAGGGTAAATAAGTATTAGCATTTGTATAGGAAGAAATTAGGTAGCAGAAGTAACCTATTCCAAGGTCACAGAAGCTGGCAGATCCTTTCGAGCTCAGATCCTTTGTTTCTAAATGTTTTATTTATTTGACCTACCTCCCCAGTTAGTTATTCCTGTGGGGAAACACCCTCAGTTTCAGCAGCTGGGCTCCTAGAAAGGCCCACAACTAATTCCCCTGTACAGTAGCCGGTTACTATGCAATGAAAGATGACAGTGTTTTTACAAATAGGTAATCAGAATGGTTTCTTTTGAATGTTTTTGTGTATATGATAGTTTGAACAGAGGATGAAGAGATGTGGTCTCAGCTCCTAAGAAACATTCTGTAGGGGAAGATTGGACAAGTGATCGATGGAAAGGGAAATAAAGTAAGTGAAAAGTGTGGTCTAGTGTTCTGGGATTAAGATCTACTGTGAGTCATTTGGAGTTGGATTTGGATGACTGGGAAAGGAGGGACCAGGCATCCCAATTAGAGCAAGACTTGGGGCTGTGGTAGATTTGGCTGCAGCTTAGGGGTAGCATAGAATAAGTAATGGTAATAGAAAAATATGCAACATTTCAAATGCAAGGTTGAGAAGTTGCAACGCAAGAAAGAAACTCTTAGTTTTGAACAAAGAACATTTAGATTTTAGATGTATTCAAGCTTGAGAGTGATCTGGCAGCAAAATGGGATAGACTGCTAAGGGGAGAAGTAGAATGACTCTATCCTGGGTGGAATCCAGACATGGATGCAAGAGGGGCATTCACAGATCAGTCTTAAGCACTAACCACTACAGGCTGGGCACAGTGGCTCACACCTGTAATCCCAGCACTTTGGGAGGTCGAAGCGGGTAGATCACCTAAGGTCAAGTGTTTGAGACCAGCCTGGCCAACCTGGCAAAACTCCGTCTCTACTAAAAATACAAAATAGAAAAATTAGCCAGGTGTGGTGGCATATGCCTATAATCCCAGCTACTCAAAAGGCTGAGGGATGAGAACTGCTTGAACCTGGGAGGCAGAGGTTGCAGCAAGGTGAGATCATGCCATTGTACTCCAGCCTGGGCAGCAGAACAAGACCCTGTTTCCCAACAAACAAACAAACAAAAAAGAGCCTAACCACTACTCTTCCACAGGACTTGCCGCTGCCCTAATTAGCTTTTAAGCTCTATGAGCCAGGGGCTGTCTTCTACAGATGGTCTGCTCCAATGCTGAGTATATACTCCTGAAAAGTCTTGAGTTGCACAAAGTCATGCAGTGAAGTAAAGCTTTGCTGGAAACATTGAATCTCAAAACCTAAAACCAGAGCTCTGATGAACACCAATACTAACAGGAAATATTACTCCAGTTAAATCTCCACTAGCATTTTTATACTTAGACTCAACAGTCAGTCCACCCTTTTCATACAAATACTCTGGGGCTCATAGTTCTTCAGAGTTAAGTCCTTGAAGGTATTTGTTTGAAATGGAGACCATTTTCATCAAAGTTAAGTACTACCAAAGGTAGCCTTTTTTGAACATACGGAAGTGTCACCAACCTCTTCATCTGTGCCTCCAGCTCTTCCAGACCTAAGGAAGGGCTTCCTGAGTCACTAAACCAGGCACTAATGTAGAATTTGCATTGGATTTTTTTTTTTCTTAGGGTCTTGGTAGAGCTCAAGCATTTCTTTAATTGAAAAAAGGCTTATTCACCTCACTTTAAAACACTGACCTGCTTGCTAAAAATGTCATGGTCACCCTGACATTATTGATAATACTTATCTGCCAATCCCATATAAGTTAGAGCTAAACATAGTCTAGCAAAAGGAAGTGTTATTTCTGGTCTGCTGTGCCTCTGTAGTCCAAAAAGTAGTACTAATTTGCTTAATAATAGTAGGTAGCTGTTTCACATGTATCAAAACATTTTCATAACCTTTGTTCTTTTAAAATGTCTATGTTTGTGCATAGTGGGTGTTCCTAATAATGCTGCTGGCCTAATTCTGGCTAAATTTCTATGAAATAGTTAAGCATAGGAGACGTAGGTTAACATGTAGTTTCAACCATTCATGATGTCCTGATTCCTGATAATTTGGGAAGAAGGAACAGCATCCTCAAAACATTTTCTAAATAGGCCAGGTGCAGTGGCTCACGCCTGTAATCCCAGCAGTTTGGGAGGCCAAGGCAGATAGATCACCTGAAGTCAGGGGTTCAAGACCAGCCTAGGCAACATGGCGAAAACCCGTCTCTACTAAAAATA